GTGTCTCTTTCCCATCTTTCCTTTAATATCGTTGTTCTTCTCACATAGCCGAGAAACTTGAACTGAACAATGATTGTGCTCTTACGGGTTGCAATGGCGAAGCCAACTTTTGGCGGGTCAGCCAAACTATTGCCGTGGGTCACTTAGTGACCCGCGGGACATAGCTTGCCACACTAAACTGTTAAGAATTAATCACACTATCATTCACATTTCAAAATGTGACGTAACTTTGAAAGAATAAAAATGTAGATTTACCGTATGTTATTGTTGAGCAGCTCTTAGCATGACTGAAATGTTCAACAATTACTTTTCACGGTGAGTGGTCAGTATAAGTAGCTCAGAGCTTTGGCTCTGAGTGAGACCAAGAGAACAACACAGTTAATCTTTTTAAAGTCCATGAAATAACTTAAATTGATAGATTAACACTGGGGACGGGTGCTTTTGCTTGTAATCTTATAACGTGGAGCAAATCAGTCTTATTGTAATTTTATATTATAGGATTACATATGACCGGCTTATGCTTTGCATAAGGCTTGTCATATAGGCACTAGATAAAAGCACAGTTAACATATATAATTCACAATGTCTCATAACGTGCAGTAGGTATGGTAGAGGTGGAAAACAAATAACTCTAGCAGGGGTGTTTCTTTGCCTTGTTTAAATAGTCTAAATACCAATTGTTAAAATGTACTGCTGTTGAAATTACTCTTATAATTCGGTTTGTTGGTGTATGGAGAACATGTTGATACCAATAGAGAAACTAACTCGCGTTAGTCTTACCAATCTCAGTAACCTTACCAGACCTTGTCAGTGTAACTGTATGAATAATGAACAATATATTTAGTAGTAAGATTACACTAATTAGGGTTTTATGTATTTTCAGATGCTGTTCTGGTAAAGCTGCTGTATTTAAATATCATGGTTAAAGGCTTAAATACGTTCAGCTTTAATAATAATAATAATAAATGGCTTGTCAAGCTCTTTAAAATATAAATTGGAACTCCAACACATCCGGGGCTGCATTGACTGTTGATATTGCCCTGTGTGATATATTAGATATAAAAATGATGCACTCTTCCTAATATATATATATATATATATATATACAGCGTGGTCAAAAGTAAATAGACACCACTCTTGGTGAGGCATTTTCCAAACCCATACCCTTCCACTGTCGGAAAATTGAGCGAATCTTGATTAGTTTGAGAACA